CTTTGCTGGGTAGAGCAATCTCAGTTGTAGATTCTTGCTATTCATCACTTTGAATATTTCTTGCCACTCCCTTCTGGCCTGCAGAGTTTCTGTGTAGAAGTCAGCTGACATTTGTATAGTTACCATGTAGGTAAATAACTGTTTTTCTCTTGCTGCTTATAAAATTCTCTCTCTGTCTTTTGCCCTTGGCATTTTAATTATGATGTATCTTGGTGTGGTCCTATTTGGATTCCTCTTGTTTGGGGTTCTGTGTGCTTCCTGAACTTGTAAGTTTATTTCTTTCACCAGGTGGGGAAAGTTTTCTGTCATTATTTCTTCTAATAGGTTTTCAATATTTTGCTCTCTCTCTTCTTCTGGCACCCCAAAAATTCAAAAGTTGGTACGCTTAAAGTTGTCCCAGAGGCTCCTTACATTATCTTCATATTTTTGGATCCTTTTTTCTTTTTGTTTTTCTGGGAGGGTGTCTTTTGTTTCCTCGTATTTCGGATCTTTCATTTGATTCTTGGGGTACGGTGATCTACAGTTGAGTTTCTGTAATTCTTTATTTTAGACAGTATATTCTTAATTTCTGACTGGTCCTTTTCCTTTTTTTTTCTTCTTCTTTTTTTTTTTTTTTTTTTTTTTGCACTCTTATTAAGGTCCTTGAAGGTCTCTTCAAATTTCTCAGCAGTTTTTAGAAGATTCTTGAGTAACCTTATAAATATGGTTCTGAACTCCATGTTGTCCTGTAGATTGCTTTCCTCCATTGCCCCCTTTCTCAACATGCCTCTGTGTCTCCACATTTTGGCTGCTTCCCTGTGTTGATGGAGTGGCTTTGTGTGGTAGGTAACCCATAGGGGCCAGTAGCTCAGCCTCCCTAATAACCCAAGGTAGACAGTCTTGATACACCCCTTTGTGGGCTGAGTGCAAAGTCTTGGTGTAGTTAAGCCCTGATTGCTGTTGGTACCCTGGGAGAAATTTTCCTCCAGGCCAATTGGCTGCGGGGACTCACTGTGTTTATAATGGAAGAACTGCTGTGCTGGAGACATGTTTGTGGTGTAGGACTTGTTTCAGTTGGTATTTGGTGCTCACTGAGTCTGCCTCTTGAATGTGTCAGTTATGGATGTGAAGTCTTGAAATCTGTGTTTCATACTGACTTCTAGGTACACTGACTTCTGGAACTCCAATGGGGTGCAGGTCAGCACTGTCTGAAATCACCCTGCAGGAGCTACAGGAAGAACTTCCCTGCTAGGGATTTGTAGATTATGGAGCAATCTGAACCAGATTGGTTTTCAAGGTAGCAGCGATAGTGAAGGCCATTCACATGTAAAAGCAGCTGCTTGGAGCTTGGGTGTGTTTGTAGATTGTGCAGGGTGGAGTCCCAGGGCATCACTAGGCTAGGGCCTTGCAAACAGAAATGGCTGCCAGTCAGCTGTCCCACGCCTCCGACCACGTTCCTGTGTCTCACGCCCAAGTGTAGCAAACAATCATTTCTGTGCACAGCTCTGCAAGCCAACCACCCTCACTTTCCAACCCAATGGCAGATAGTCCAGCTTCTCTCCATAGGAGTTTGGGTCTTATGTGTCTCCCCTTCGGGTTGAAGAAAGCAATGTCTGCCACCAGCCGCTTAAAATGAAATGTCATGTGACAGACAAGTCAATCTGTATCTCAAGTGAATCATTTGAGGAATTGAAGTGCTGGTCAACTTTGCAAGGAAAAGAAAACAAAACCCTCAAATGCCCAAGCCCTTTGAAGATGGTGATATGCAAGGAAGAGAATTTCAATCAATGTGAAGAGGAAATTTTTCTATAGGAACATAGCATAAATTCTGGTACCTGAGATATTTCAACTTAAAAAAACAAAACAGCCTTCTAATTTTGAAGAAATACTGGTACTCTACACAAAATGAGAGAGGGGAATAATAATATATACAACTTTATTTTATTCAGATTGAAGGAAGAAAGGAAACCAAAAAAATAGAAATTGCAAAAGTGATCATTACCAATAGTTTCTGAGCACTTACTGTGTACCTGGCATTATGATAATCACTTAATATTGATTTTATCATTTATTCCTCATAACATCCCTAAGATGTAGGTAGTATTATTATACTCACTAATGAGGAATAACGCTGAGTGAGGTTAAGTAATTTTCCCAAGAAATGTAGTTAAAGTGGCAGAGCTAGTTCTTTGGGATCACAATATCAAAAGAAGTTCTTATTGAGAATCAATGTGGCAAAGTGGAGGAAGCTTTTGGGACAAGCTCTGACCAAAAAGTATGTGTTGGGATGGTTTGGGGATCAATTCATTTTCTGTTCCAACTAGAGACTTGAGATACACTTATTGATGGCTACATTGAACTTCTGATGGCAAATATATATTGATGGCTTATTAAATCAGTTTGTTATTGTGGCAGAGGCTGTGGATTTGCTCTTGCATAAATAGTTTAGATCTTCTCTGTAGCCAATTTCTTTCTAAATCATATCTTGGACACCAAGAAGCAGGATGAGAAAAAGTTAGACAGTCCCAGGCAAAATCAGAAGTGCAAGATTAATCATGTAAGATTAGATTTGGGAAAAATAATCCTTAGTACATTGTTGTGATGAAGCTATTATTCAAGTACTAAGTGTACCTTCAGAAATTCTATTCATTAGTCTTAGAATGAGGAGTTAATCAAGCATTATTTCTCCCAGTTACTCTTCTTCCCACAACTGTTCCCTTCTCTGTCATCCTAAGTCCATATCTCATATCTATAGCTGTAGGCACTGAAATGTGACCTAGAGCTTTCTAGCTTTTGTATACAAGCAAAATGTGGCTGTGACTATAGGAGATAGCATTTTAAAGAATGAAGTTATGTTTGAAACTGGTATGCAGATCCCTCATCAGCCATTTCAGTCACCCAGACAATGTGACCTGCCATCATGAAGCAGTATCTTTGCAAACAAAGGACAGTAGTACACATATACATCAAACCAGGACTTCAGCTACAATCAGCCCATGGACTGCATATGTAGAAATGGGCCTGTATAACTGGGGTTTGGTGAGGGATTCTCATTTCCATTCTTACCCTATTCCACCCCTGATTAAACTCTGTTGCTAGAGAGAAGCAACTGTGAACATAAATGTTTTGAATATCTGAATATTTGGGGAGTGGAAAGAGAGAAGCAGCAGAAGATGTGGAAAAAGCACTGATTTTAGAGTTAGATAGGTCTGGGTGTCTTTCTCTAGTCCGTCAACAGAAGCAATACTCTTACACTATATGGAAATGCTTTCTTTGTTGTGTCACTGAAGGTTTTTGTTTTGTGTTTGTGTTGTTTTTAAACTCTATTAAACATATGTTTATTTTCCACTGCCAAAAGCGCCAACAAAAGGATTCTGCAAGTAGAGACAACAGAGGACTAGCAACAGCTATTGACAAGACAGACAAAACATCAAGGGTACATGCATAATGATGGAATATATCACCAGGGCCTAGTTTTTGGTTGTGCATAGCAGCAAGGAAAAAAGACAGTCTAAATCCCCTTTTGTGGCAATTGTGCTATTGAGATTTATTTTTAAAAAATTTTATCAGTCAATTCTATAAGTTATTTTGTTTCATTCATTCCCTCGTTTTGTTTATTAGTTCAATCAACCAATATTTACTATCTTCATATCACTTTGGCTGGATACTCTGTGTTTTTTTTGTTTGTTTGTTTTTTTGTTTTATAGGATTAACAAGATTTCAAAAAAGACTTGATTTAATATCATTAAAAGAATGCCAACTGGGTGAAAATGGTGAAGGAGCTGAAACCTGTTTGGCTCAATGGATAGAGCGTCAGCTTGGGGACTCAAGGGACCCGGGTTCGATTCCGGTCAAGGGCATGTGCCTTGGTTGCAGGCATATCCCCAGTGGGGGGTGTGCAAGAGGCAGCTGATAGATGACTCTCTCTCATCGATGTTTCTAACTCTCTATCTCTCTCCCTTCCTCTCTGTATAAAATCAATAAAATATATTAAAAAAAAAAAAGAAAAAAAAAAGAAAAAGGTGAAGGAATTAAGAAGTACAAATGGCCAGTTTTAAAAATAGCCATGGGGATGCCAAAGAAATACAGTCAATGATGTTGTAATAATGTTGTATGGTGTCATATGGGTGCTAGACTTATGTGGTTATCATAAGCTATATAAATCAGTGTGTACTATACCTGTAGTATAGTATGTCAAGGGTAATTAATTTTTTTTTTAATTTTAAAAAAGAATAGACACGCCAGGACCGGTTTGACTCAGTGGATAGAGCGTCAGCCTGCAGACTGAAAGGTCCCGGGTTCGATTCCGGTCAAGGGCATGTACCTTGGTTGCGGGCACATCCCCAGTAAGGGGTGTGCAAGAGGCAGCTGGTCGATGTTTCTCTCTCATCGACGTTTCTAACTCTCTGTCTCTCTCAATTCCTCTCTGTGTAAAATCAATAAAATATATTAAAAAAAAAAAAAGAATAGACACATGAGAGGAAAGGCTAACCCTAAACATTACTCTATCCTTTTTCCTACAACTTCTTCAATTCCCAGATGTCAGGAATTAAAACCAGTTCACAAACTCTCATTGGCATATCCTGTATATCCAAACCTTTGGGAATCAGATTCTCCAGGGAACTAAACTCTCCAAAGATCACATTATTAGAGAATTTTCTCAAGATACAGGCAACTCCAGTGTCATTTAGATTTGCCTTTTCACATCCTGGCCATATAGGACATATACACACCTGGGCTTCCACCTGTTCAGTCTCTGCCCTGAGTCATTGTCCTGGCTACAGCCCTGTCTCTCTTTATGAGAAAAGCTCTTGCTTTCAGAGAAGATCATATTTGCAAACTTTTTACTCTTTGGGAAGCAATGATGAGAAAAGTTGTGAGCAGAGAGGAGAGGAGGAAAGAGTAGACTACAGAGTTGAGGAAATATCAACTTGCCATTCTCAACACCTCTTTCTGGTGCCCATTTGTTACCTTCCTTTCTCCTTCCCCTTGGTTTCTCTCCAGGCACCTCCAAGGTAGTGATGGCTCTCCAGAAGACTCTTTCATTGCTTCTGCTCTTGTTGGTGACCCTGCTGGGACTGGGGCTGGTGCAGCCCTCTTATGGCCAGTCCATGTACCAACGATTCCAACAACAACATGTGGACACTAAACAGAAAGGTAGCACCAGTTTGTACTGCAACAAGATGATGCAAACACAGGGGATGATGAGGCCTACGTGCAAGCAATTCAACACCTTCATCCATGCAGATATCAAGGCCATTAATAACATCTGTAGGAACTCCAATATCCGGTGCAAGAATGGCAAGATGAACTGCCATAAGGGTAGAATGAAAGTCACAGACTGCAAGCTTACAGCAGGTTCCCCGGGAAACTGCAAATATAAGGGCAGGGGCAGCTATAGGAGTGTTGTTATCGCCTGTGATGGTAAACCCCTGGTGCCTGTGCACTTTGATGGATAGATGCTACCCTGAAGCTGTTATGGCCCTATGTTGACCTTTTACTTACTCCTTCAATAGCAATGATTAATGCATTTGAGCTATGTCTACTTCTTTTTCTCTATATAATCCATTCTGTTAAGTGCATCTAAGAGAAATGGAGACATAAACGTATAATGAGACTGGGCTTTCTTGAATAAAATTTTCTATAAACTCCTGCTTCCTTTCATAATACTAATCAGCTTAGCTCTCTCAAATTCTATCCTCTAGAATCTCATCAATATATATATATTATATTGAATTTCATACATTTTAAGGTATTTCCATCTTAGTTATCTCTTTTTAGTACCACTGCACCTCTGTGATGCTCATTTTGCTACAAAAGGGGCCTAAAGTTAAAGGATTTGCTGAAGAACATGACGATAGTGGAAAAGATGAAACAGAAAAAATCCATTAAAAAAATTAATTTCAACTGGCTATTAATCAGGTTTTTCCTACTTCATCACAGGGAGTGCTTTAAAAGTAACTGCTTTTTGATATTCTCAAAATTCAGCTGTTGGGGCAAGCATTAAACATTCAGAAATATGAATAGACAAAATGAGAGCTCTGTCTGCATAATTTGGCAGTCTTGTTATGTTTGTATCTAGTAAGGTTAAGAAATTATACAGGAACTTTCTTTTTCTCTTTGCAAACTTTTGAATCATAGTAGTAAGTTAGAGTGTTAACAATGTACTAGATCATTAAGACTCATTCTCTCTTCCTGACTGGAAAGATTTTTCATGTTTTCTTTGTAATAAAGAACTCAAACTACAGCCGGGACCGGTTTGGCTCAATGGATAGAGCGTCAGCTTGGGGACTGAAGGGTTCCGGGTTCGATTCCGGTCAAGGGCATGTACCTTGGTTGCGGGCACATCTCCAGTAGGGGGTGTGCAAGAGGCAACTGATCGATGACTCTCTCTCATCGATGTTTCTAACTCTGTATCTCTCTCCCTTTCTCTCTGTACAAAATCAATAAAATATATTAAAAAAAAAAAAAAGAACTCAAACTACAGATATCTGTGAAGATGGTGCTGTGGTTCTTGTGTGAGATTTCTTTTCTTTTACCCTCTTTTAATTCTTTTCTAGTTTATAAACATGAACAAACAGCTTCATACCTTCATAAACTGGCCCATAATTAAAACCTATTGGATCAATGACCATGACACAGAAATATTTGTGTCATTTACTAAAGACAATTATTACACCCTTCCCTTTTCCCTTTTATTATTTTGAAACAAATTGGAGAACAGAGATGTATGAAGACACTAGCAGCTAAAAATGGAAGTATGTATGTGAATATGAGTGTGTGTTCTGTGTGTGCATGCACGTGTGTGTGTGAGAGAGAGAGATTGTGTATGGGTGGGTGTGTGTGCATTGAAAGAATTAAACTGAAAATATTTGAATTAAAGCAAATATACATTGTTTATGTTTAAGGTGTGCTACCTCATTCAGTATACTAGTACATATGCATTGTGGAAGAATGACTACAATCAAGATAATTCACCTATCTGTTACTTCACATGATTACCAAAAGTGACCCCATTTTGGACTGCTTTCTACTCTCTTCTTTCAACACTACTGATCATCATAGCTTAATCCACCTATTTCTTCTGACTACATGTAGCTTTCACACCATTGTAAAGTTAAAATATCCTAGGCATGAAAATCCTATATAATAAAAGAGTAGTATGCAAATTGTTCCCTGGACTGGAAGTTTGACCAGGGGGTAAGGCCATCTGCAGCAAGGGAAGGAGGCCCTGGCCTGTGGCAGCAGGTGGCTGGGGAAGAGTGGGAGTTCCTGGTCCACAGCTGAGCCACTAAGGACCATACCAATGCATGGATTTCCTGACCTTGTTTCAGAAAACTGAAGAAGAATAAAGCAATACTTAGAGAGATGGAGTTACATTTATTTGGCGCGGGTCCAGAGGAAAATGTATCTGAAATTTTGGGCCCCAACATGCAGGAATTCTCCCTATTTATATATTTTTATCTTCTTTGTCTCTCAAATATGGAGTGTTTCTGGCCCCTTCTGCAAGTTCTTTAAGAGCCATATGTGCTGGGCCCAACCTAGCCTGGAGCCAGCACTAATAACCTTGTCTGAGGAAGGTTTAATGTCCTCTCTGAAGTGGGAGTAGTCTTAGCAAGCAAGAATTTACAGGAGCCAAGTAGCAGGATTAAAATTTCAAACAGCAGTTTTTTTTATATAAGATGGATGCTTCAACCAAGGCTTCTAGTTCATAAAAAAATAAATAGATAAATAAAATTCAAAAAATAAATAAATTGTGGATCATTTTTGCTAATCCATGTCACCAAACTAAAACTTAATAACTAACCAAATTTCAGCCTCTTTCACAGATGATATTTATACCAATCAATTTAGAATTACCTGATCAGCACTGGTGAGTTAATATGACTGATAAGACCCTCTGCCTTCCCTTAAATGAAGGTGTCCTTGCTTAAAATAATTCAGTCTTGCTGAAACCGGTTTGGCTCAGTGGATAGAGCGTTGGCCTGCAGACTGAAGGGTCCCAGGTTCAATTCTGGTCAAGGGCATGTATCTTGCTTGCGGGCACATCCCCAGTGGGGGGTGTGCAAGAGACAGCTGATCGATGATTCTCTCTCATCGATGTTTCTAACTCTCTATCCCTCTTTCTTTCTGTAAAAAAATTGATAAAATATATTAAAAAAATAATAATAACTCAGTCTTTTAACTACGTAGTCCCACCCCTTTTCTGCCTGTAAAAACCCTCCATTTTGTACAACTCACCAAAGTGTCTTTCTAGTTGCTAGATGGCATTCTGTCCAATTCCTGAATTGCTTAATAAAGCCAATTAGATTTTCAAACTTACTTGGCTGAATTTTGTTCTTTAGCTCCAGGGCCTTGCCATTCCTTTGTACCCAGAAGACTGCCTTTGATGTATGACCCCTTTGCTCCAGGCTCTTCTCAGAGTGACCCCCAGTGTTCTAGATGAGGAGATAAACAGGTGCACAGAGTAAGGCTGTCCCCTCTATCCCCCCCCCCCAACTACTGCCAATCAGTTGGAACACTGCCCCTCCCACATCTATTCCTTTGTTCACTGTCTCAGACTTCTTAGTTCTAAGAAAAGGAAAAGGACACTGACTATGCTCTTCAGATTCACACATTAATCCCCATGGACCTGTGAACGTGAGCATGAAATCTGAATAGGGCAAGTTAGAGTTAGAAGGGTTGGTACTGAGCATGGCTGAGGAAAAGGCCCAGGAACACTGGGAGGGGCTTGTTTGACCTTCTCAGTGGTAGAGTTGAGAATGCAGTGATCCAACTTGTGAGAAGCAAAGACCTGAATTTAACTCAGCATTAATCTTACTAACTTACACCTCCCTTCCTCCTCAATATTTTCAAGCAAAATACATTAAAGTAGCTTGAATAGTAGTCTTCTCATCCTGTTTAGGCCATTTGAGCTAGGGATAAGGTGCCATAAATGAGAAAATGTCTATTTCTTGTTCTGTGCCTGATAGAGCACTTGAGACCCCAAAAGTTCTCTTATGCAAATCCCATTAGTCTCTCACAGGTCTGTAAAGGAGCTACTATTAGGCTCATTTGAGGACACCAATTCTGAGATATTGAGAATCAGATTAGAGTTTCTGTAGGGCCAGGTTAACTCCTTGTGCTAACTGAGTACAGGGAGCTGGTTTAAAGGAGAGACTTTTTCAAACATCTCTAGGCCTTGATTTTGACCAAAGCAGTTCCTGTGAGAGCAGTTTCAATCTTGGTACTTGGTTGCTTAAAACACTATTTCAAAACTGCATTTTCTTTTGATGGAATTCTTAATGGCAAGATGATTCAGTATGATGATAATTAGGCAAATTCTCTGAGAAGGCAAGTGGGCAGTCAGAAGTGCTACCATGTTTCAGGCAGCCATTGGGGAAGTGCTATGAGGAAGTCAAGATGAGATAAGCCCCACTTGCAGAGTCCATTTTAATTGCAGCCTGGGATTTCAGGGAGCCAAAGCCTTCCTGCTTGGGAATGTTTCCCAAGTTTATTCATCTTCTACATTCTTTTACATTTTTTCTATTTCATAGACATAAAATTTTAAACACCATTCGCTTTCAGACACATTCTCTTATGAGAACACATCTGGACTGTAAAATAGAGCTAGCCAGAATGCTCCTTGTTTTGTGTGAGGAGGTGTTTGGAATTCTCAAAATAAATTTCATCTATTTTCTACAATTTTGTGCTTGTCTCACTCAGGCTCTAGCATATTTTCAATTCTTGTAAATTTTATTATCTAATGAGATTTATCATCTTCTAGTCTGGAACCAAATGGTAAAATTGAGCCTAAGTATCTACATTGGCAGGGAAAGGAATTTTAAGGTGGAGCTCAGCTCAGGGCAGTGCTGCAGTTATGTTTTCCTCTCTCTTCTATGGAGACCCGCAGATGATCCTGGTGACTGAGATGTCCTCCTCTCTGAAAGTCCTAGGTCCTCTCTTATTCCTGCTGATCCCCTTGTGTGGGCTCCAAGTACACAGCCAGAACCTTTCCTGGAGGGAATTAATGAAACAGCACCACTTGAGCACAAGCTGGGAATTCAATGAGTACAGATGCAATGATCTCATGAGAGAAAGAGAAGCTCCAAAAGACAGGAACTATCACATCTTCTTCTATACCTTCCGGCACAAATCAAGCATATATGCATCAGGAACCAGAGAGATCGCTACAGAAATGTATACTAGTATATATGGGCCCAATATTACTTCAAAGTAATCGAGTGTTACCGGAGGAATAACAAAAAGGGCTACAAAGAGCACGGGAGCCACAGCCGCATTGAATTCCATTGTGGCATGAATGGGTTTACTGATAGCATAGAGAACATCAGGTTGTTAGAGGTTATTAGTAACTTCTACCTGCACCCCCTTGTTTTAGTAGAGTGATGAGTGTTTCCCAAGTAGTGGACCTTGCCCACATCAATAGCTCTTGCTAATCATTACTTTGCATTTATGTGCT